GAAAAATAAAAATGAACGGAGTTGTCCACATACCCGCCCTGATGATGTCCATTCAGGGAAGATGGAAAAGGGCAGCCAGGGACAAAGTAAGGTGATGGATCTGATGGGGCAAAACACAAAAAAGAGGACACATATCCAGAGAAAAGGAAGAATATACCAGGCAAAGTGATAGGTGGATCCAACCCGTAAGGGGAATGGGAGAAAAGTCACAAAAAGAAGTAGGATTCCAATGAAACAACAAACAGACTGAGGAACCACAGAAGGATACTGTGCATGTCATATATCATTTAAGGGCCCTGATCAGGCAAAAGAGTCAGTCAGGATCGGAACGGTCTTAAAGGTAGAAGATGGAGTGAAATCAGAATTATTCTCCTGAGCAGCTGAAGTCTTGGGCATAAAGAAATGGTCAGGAACTATGGAACAAAACATAGCATACACAAATCACAAACACTTCGGAAAGACAGTGACCACATGCCAACAATATGAGAAACAGGGACAGCAAAGAAGAGTAATATAACAAACACAAAGACAAAGTTTCAAACAGAAGATGAGTAAGAGCATGTAAGATAATAATGATGTTCCAATCCTGGAGAGAAGCAGGATGGGGAGGATGAGCAATGGAGAATGAGAATTTTAAAATTATAACATTATTTTTTTTCCCATCTAAGAAAGAAATTAAGATTTTGAGGTGGTCCCACCTTTGAATACCCTACATCCCATTGACCATGAGAAAAGCATGGTTGTTTCAGAAACAATCTACCAACTTTCATACTTGGACCTTGAATCCCTCTAGAATATTCAACACTGTCTAAAAGCATCAACCAGGCAAGAGTGTTTGAGAGTGACTTAATAGGCTGGGAGTAATTAACGAACAGGCTTTATAAAATAGACTTAAGTTCAATTTTGAACACTTTAGGACATTCCACATAGTGCATAGTGTTTGCATATAAATCTCGGTTGAGATTGGCTCAATAGGCTTGTAGGAGTTGGGGTGTAAGCAAACACACACATTTCATCTTTATATATAGATGTTTTATTGGGGAAAGAAGAACTGAAAACAATGTACAGAATGTCCTGCTAAATATATTGATGACATAGTATAAAGGTCAGCTTTACATATAAAGTTTACATTTTCTTTATTTTATGACTACGTACCTACAGAACATCACTTATATTGAAAACTTCATTTAAACAAGAAATAATAAATTTAAAGCAAAAAAAAACCCTTAGTAAGTCATAGCTAAAGGCAGATGATTTAAACTAACAGATTTTTCAACAATTTCTGGTTGCATCTAAATTTTTCTAATAGTACATACCTGTTCCATCATTAGAAAATCTTTTGTTTTGTAAAGTTGCTTTTTGATTAGGCATTCTTGTTTGGAAAATATCTTCTGTCTAATTAAAAACATCCAACATTGAAAAAAAGGAACAAAAAATTTAAATTTTAAACATTAGCATGCTCAGAATCTATTATGAAATAATATAATAAAACAATTTCTTAAATAGTCAATTCTGGAGATAATTGTGAAAGAATAGAATGTTATTACATATGTCAGTTTTAGTAAAAAAAATTAAAATGATTTACAATCTGGTAGCATTAACTTCAAGCTTTGATGATAATGATAGTCATATTACAATTCCTTAAGATCAACTTATATTTTACAGTCTCATAAAGTATTGGATAAAAAGGTGGAGATTGCAATCTCTTCCGATGTTTCATTCATGTAATAATTTCAATTAAATAGTCAAAACTGTTTTCAGAAGAAATGTCTATGTATTCATTAAACAACAACCTCACTGGAAAACAAAAATAAATGGTACCACTTCATGCTTCTATCATTTCATAAAACTAATTCAAATTAGTAGATAAAATGTTAATTTTTGCTTAAATATATATATAACCTTTCTCTGTGAAAATGTAAAATTTTATACATACTAATAATATACTAACAAATCACTATTCTTTATATATGTGTGTAAAAACACTTAAGGATTTCTTTTAGAATATGTGATTTAAATAATTGGCAAAAAAGGTAACAAATCTAATTTAGATACAAGAAATTAGAATGTCATTCTGAAATTCTAAGTCAATGGTTTTTCATAAGCTCAAAATTCTATTTAAGAGTAAATTTATGAAAAATCATATCTAAAACAGTTTGCTTTATACCAGATAAGCAAGAACAGCTTCAACCTCTTCAATTTCTGTTGTAAGTATATCTAATGATGCAGCTATTTCTTTAGCTGTGACAGGTTGCTAAACGAAAAGAAAATCAAGAATAAGTAATGAAATTATATTTTACAATTAAAATATAGGCATCATCTTCTAAAAAAATAATAATACAACAAAAAACTAATTTAAAAATACTCTTCCCACGAACAATGATAACAAGTATTAAAAATGTATACCACAAAACAAAAAAAATTTTGTACAATTTTTGACTGTTTAATATTTATGACACTAAAGAACTAATTTAATTACAACTATTTTTGTGTTGAGAGTAACATTTTAAACTAATATTTGTTATTTTATTATTCTTAGTTGTATGCATTATGTTTATATGACAAAGGGTAAAATAGAGAAAGTTAACATTTTCTTAAATCGAAAATGTATTTCCAATAATTCTTACCTTCATTCACACTTAGAGCTATTACTCAACTGCCAGGGTTTCTTCCTTTACCAATCTAAACATTGTTCTGATTTTTACTCACTTGTTCCAGTATTTTATACCCCACTCAAATCCTTGGTAATATTTATCTCATGGCACTCTCCACCTATGTCAATGCATCCTCTATCTTGTTATTGTATATAAGCACTTCATTCAAATAATTTTATCACTTTTTCAAGACTGACACCATCCCGACTCTTAGTAGGGAGGAAGGGCAGGAGAGTGTCAGTGGAGGTAAGTATTATTGGAAATACATTTTCAATTTAGGAAAATGTTAACTTCCAAAATATACTGACACTTATAGCTAGAATCCCATGTTGAGAAGGTGGAGAGACCAGTGAGGGCATTATCCATACAGACAGCATCTGCATAGATCGTGGGTGTTTTAATAGAAGATTGGCACCCTAGTGGGGGAACTGCATTACATCCATAATAGGTATGCTCTTCAACTGGAACTTAATTCCTGTATTGTAGCTGCAATTTTACCTGATTTATCAACACCACAGGCTCGGCCCCAACCAGATAGCCAATGTTCTACTACGTGGGATAGGAATTAAAGCACCATGGTCCCTCTATCTCATGTTGGTGACCAGGGCAATTGGACTGCAAACTAAATATATATATATATATATATATATTAGGTCATCAAGAAATTAATTTTGTCTTTTTTTGATAGAAAAAAATCTGAACAACTTATATATATATATATATAC